AAAAAAAAAAAAAAAAAAAAAAAAAAAACCGACAAACAAAATTATTCATTTATTATTATTAATTAACTACATTAACTCCTTTGCTATCAAATTAATATCATCAATCATTTATTCATTATATATATTATATATAATATATATTAAAAAAAAATATATATATATAATTTAGTTTTTAAGTCTTTTATTATTATTATTATTTATTATTATTATTATCATTACTATTATTATTATTTTTTCTTGTATTAGTCTTTTTTTATTATTATTTTTTTATTATTGTATTTTGTTGTATTAACTTTACTGTGAATTTTATTGTAAACTTATTATTGTTATTTTTTTTATTATATTTTATTTTATTTTTTTTTTTTTTAAAAAAAAAAAAAATTTAATAATAATGCATTATTATATATATTATAATATTAATTAATAAACACAATATTGGCATTATATATGTTAATTTAAAAAAATATATTTATTTATTTATTATATAAAAGACAGAAATTAATTAATTTTATATATTATAAAAATATACTGTATGTATATATCTCATTTAAGAAATCTTATATTATGTGATAATAGCTAGAAATAAAGTATACGAAATTCAAAAAAAAATATAAATTATAATAAAGATTATAAAAAAAAAAAAAAATCTTTTCTAACGTCTTTCTTTTACAAAATATTGTAAACAAACAAATGATAATACTATAAATGAACTAAACATTACAGTTAATTTTAATACATCTGTCCAATATGCTGATGCATCAAATCCAAATGTTGATAAAATAGTTGCTCCAGGTACCTATTAATGTTTTTAAAGCCAATATTTCATAAAACAATTAAAACGCAAACAAAAAAAAAAAATGGAAAGAAATCATGTACTTACATCAATTTGTAATCCAAATTTTTCTTCGGTTAGCGTTAAATAAACAACTTCATTAACAATTAATGCTTCAAATGCATAATTGAAGAATGAAAGATCTTTCAACCAAGTCAAATATTCTGGAATTGAATCTGGAAAAAAAAAAAATATGTTACTTAGTAACTTGATTCATATTCGGCAATAAATCTACATTTTGCATACCTTTATTCAAAAGTAAGCCACCAAACAACATGCTGAATAACATGACCAAACTGCTCAACAAACTAGCAACTCCCATTTCTTTAAAGAGAATCCCGATACACAGACATATGCTTGCCGCAGTGAGATTGAATAAGATTAGCACTAGTAAGAATTTGAAAAATTCTGCAGTCCCATCAACCAATCCCACCATATGATATATAATAACTCCCATAAGAATAGGAGGTATTACACGAAGTGGAATAATATCAAATAAAACCTAATAAACAAATAAAATTACATCAATAGTTTATAATACAAAAGAATATTTTTTTAATATATACCTTGGACGCGAAATATGTAATTGGAGCATAATAACCGTTTGCTCGTTCTTTTACAAATAATATTCTTTCTGTCGCAAAAACATGCAAGGAACTCAAGCATCCGAATCCAAAAAGTGCACACATAAAGAATAATATACCCATACGATTTTGAAAACCTGCGATATCATTAGTGACCTTATAAAACAATGAGCCACAGAGAACTAAAGAAAATATTTGAATTAATAATTAAGGAACGAGAAATTTATAATTTGTAAAAAGATATAATATACTTACGCGCTAGATAAACACTGGTACAATAATGTGTAAGCATTAACATTGGATTTCTATAAAGATTCTTGAATGTACGATCCGATAAAATACGGAACTGTGTGAACCATGAAGCGCGAAGATGGGAACTAACAGTGGGATATTCTCCGTCTGTAGTTAATAAAGGTTGATTTTGCTCGCTGTTAAATTAAAGAAGTAATAAAATTAATTTATGATTATTAAAATATGAATGCAACAATAAAAACTCACTTCGTTATAGCACGATTAATTTCATCCTTTATTCCAAGAGCAATCATACTCCTGTTATAGCTCATAATTAACATTCTCAAGTGATCTGTCATTCCATCGCTATCCACATTAATGTTAATACTATCACTATTTTGAATTTGATGCTCTTGCTGATCTGAAGAACGTAATGGTGGCCTGTTTGGTTCGTATAATTCCAAATCTTGAATATCATGAATAGAAGCACGATTTCTCAAAATTGGGCGTGCTTCAGTTGCAATGTCTGAAGAACGGGCTGAAGAAATTCCGTCATTCTCATCATCAAAAGTGGGTGGTTTGACCGCATACATGGTCAAATCAACTAATAAGAATTATAATAATAATATTTAGATATTAAAAAATTTTTATATTTATAAATGAAAAATATTAATTTTGTATTAAAATTTACAAACCTAAATAGTCGGCAATATTGAAACCAGGAGGACACTTATGTCCAATGTTTTCAAAGTATGATTGACATTTACTTGCTTCTCCAGAATACACCATATGACCTTTAGCAAGTAAAACCAATTGGTCAAATAAAGCAAAAATGTTACTTCTGGGTTGATGAATTGTACAAATAACTGTACGATTATAATTCCTTGCGAGGGTAACAAGACATTCAACTACATTGTATGCATTATATGCATCTAACCCAGAAGTTGGTTCATCAAGGAATAAAATCGATGGGGATGTAACTAATTCGCAAGCAATTGATACACGACGCTTTTCTCCACCAGAAATTGATCTTGCACCTGTTTTTATGAAAAACCGGTTGGTACTGTTGAGGTAATGAATGAGGTTTACAAAATTTCAAACAAATCACAGATAAAAATACATTAAGTCCTAATCAAACTTACCGGCATCACCTATCCTAGAATCTTTAATTCCCAAAATTCCTAGTTCACTCATAGTCTCTATAACTCTAAAGTTCTTGGCCTCGAAACTCATTTCACGGGGCAATCGTAAAAGCGCGGAATACAAAATAGTTTCATAAACGGTCAAAGTAGGTAAAAGGTGGTCCTCTTGATCAACATAACTGAATATCATTATAAAATTTTAAGATAATAATAAATAATTATTCCTACAACTTAAATCACTTGTTTTTTGGGGAAAAAAATTTACATACCCAACCACATTTTTGAACTCGACATCCTCTACAATACGTCCATTTACTAATATTTCTCCTTTAATCCTACCAGCTTTATTCTTTCGTGCCAAAATATCTAAGAAACTTGTTTTACCAGCGCCAGATCCACCCATTATTGCCATAACTTCTCCCGGTTTGACTAATCCATGAATTGAATGGAGAACTGATTTATCACCAACATAATAACTAATGTCCCGGAAAAGCAATGTTGCTGGTATATGATTAGCCATAAGTTTCGAATTCTCATCATCAGGGAGAATAATAGACGACGGAGTTATCCAATTACGAGACAAGTAAAATACAGCTTTAAATAAAAATTTAAATTAGATAATCCGTCAATTGCATTTACCATCTTTCATCTAGAAAAATCAAATCAATATTACCTCCGAAAATACCAGCAACAAATGTAAGCACAGCAACCACCGACACTATTATCATATTTGTATTATTTGGCTGATATGGTCTCTATTCAGATATAATTTAAATATTAAAAAACAATTTAATATTTAATAAAGTAATCATTCTTAAATCTTACTTTAAATCCAGGAACTTCGGTATAATGAAGACATTCGCCACTTTTACAATCCAAAGAAATATAACCATCACCAAAAATTTGCAAAATAAGTCCATTCATAGCAGGTTCTAAAGATATAATATGAGATTCAAGTCAATAAAACAAATTGAAAAATTATTTATGAGGGAAATTGTCATACCAGAAAAACGACAATCATCAGGATTATAGCATTTAAATTCTGCGGGTCCCTTTATTTCTTCATCTAGCCATTCAGTAAGGTCTGATAAAATAATAATTATTAACATTATTTATCAAAACAAATTTCTAACAATTTATGAATTTTTTACATACCAATACTACCATCCTTTCCACACAACATTTCTCCAACCTTACATTTGCATTTTATTTGTTGACAATTATATTGAGTTATATTTTGATCATAAGTTATTTCTTGATCGAATGAACATTCATCAAGATGACAAAAGAATGATTCTGTTTGATTAATCCAAACTATTTTTAAATAATTAACAATTAGTTTGAAAATATTACAATTTTATAAAAAAAAAAAAAAAAAAGATTTAAACCATCATTAATTACATTGAAAATCACACGTTTCTTTCTTGCGATGACAAGAAAAAGTGACTTGAGGAGGTTGATCGGGAAGCATATCAAGAATTTTCTTGTCTATTATCGAAAAAAAAAAAAAAATATTAAGCAATCAAATGTTTGATCATAAATTGCTTTTATAATATAAAAAATACAAACTTTTTACATCACACATTTGAAAATTCTCGTAAACAGTCAATCCTCCTTTATAACATGTTCCATTTTGTCCGGTGGGCACAAGTGGATCGCAAGCAGAATTAGTTTTACAAACTAATAATAAATAAATTTCATAAGTTTATCAAGTTGATAATTAATTAGAAATATTAATGCAATTATATAACAAACCATTGCAATTTATTCCTTCCCAGCCTTCAGAACATTCGCATAGGTGATCTTTTTCACGCGGACGACGATTTGGTCCAGCAGCCAAAGAATCACAAACAGCCTCTGAACAATCCTCGCCTCCAAATCCAGGTGGACACAGACATTTTCCATCATAATCACTACAGTTAGCAAAGTGAGAACATTGGAAAGCGGGAAGGTGGCAGTTGAAACAAGGCGGACATTCTTGTTTAGGCTCCTTGGTTTCGAGATTTGAGCATTGCCGAGGGATATAACCAGCACGTGGAGAGAACAACGTATTTACAAATTGTCGTGTTTCTTCTCGTGTGGGTTCTGATGCCAAACAGATCGGCATCATAATGCAAGTTAGCCAGATTAAAACAAAAATGATCGAACCATGATGGCACTTTTGTAAATAAATCATTACGAAAAAAAAAAATTTAGACAACCGAAATTAAAATTTCAAAATGAATAATAAAACCATGAAAAGAATGGAAGTATAAAACATTGCACAGATGATTTTATAACAAATGTACGACGTGTCCCAATTGGTCAAAAACTGGATTTTTAAAATCATGTTTGATGAGATAATTCAAATTCAACTTGATTCAGCCCAGGTTAGGTATTAATCATACTAATCCAATAGTAATATTGAATTTTATTAATAATTTTAGCAATTACATTTCATTATATAATTTTTTATTTTAAAGAAAACTAGGGTTGCGCTTTAACGGGGGCTACCGCCCCTGATCGTCATCACGTTATTGAGTAGGCGGCAGTATTACGTGTATTTGTTGTTGTGGATCGGTTTGTAGACCGATTTGAAACTGGAGTCTTATAGAACTTATAAAACTCAATATTCCCAATCCAAAATTTTATTATAATAAAAATAAACCCAAAAAAAGGTCGAATTATACACAAAAAAATTTTTTTGCGATCTATTAT